CACTACAATCTTGAAGATTGAACTGCATTTGGTTCAACCAATTTTGCCTCAGAAAATACCAAAGCTTTGTAAAGGTCACAAAGAATGTCAGAGAGCCCATACCTAGTGACTGATCATGTTTGTATTATGGCCTGCAATTGGCTAGTTAAATGGCAAGTCTTGTTATTGCCTTCTATCCAACTTGTTTGTTGACAAAGGCACACAAGTAACGTATTCCATGAATGGTAATCAGGAACTATACCCTTTTCTACCATTTGAAGAAAGAACATATATGCTCTGTGGAAATCTCCTCTACTACAGAAAACATCAATGAACGGACCATAACTTCCAGAGTCCAGCAAGCAGCCTCTACCTTTGATGTCCTCCATCAACTTAGACGCCTTTCCAACTTTACCCTGCTTGCAAAGCAGAATTATCACATCATTTAATGTGGATGCAATTGGAAGATAACCACGTCCAATCATCTCGTTCATCAGCTCAAATGCTCCTTTTATACATCCTTTGCTGCAATATCCACTAAGTAAGTTTGAATAAACAAGAGCACTTGGCATAACACCCTCCCCGACCATCTGATCATAGATCCTCCTTGCTTCACCAATGTTGCCATTTTCACAGAAATCAAGTATTCTCGTGCTCCTATCCACAGCTCGTGGAAACAAATTTTCCATCTTCCTTATAAATGCAAGTGATTCTTCCAAACGATTTTCCTTGTAAAACCCATATATAACACCATTATACGGACTAATATGAAACGCCGAAACCCGTTTATCATTCTTCATTACTTCCAAGATCTTCAATCCATTTTCCACTCTCCCACCCGAACACAATCCATGGATAAGAGTATCGTACGTGACAAAATTCCAATTTATCCCAACCCTCTTCATTTCATTGAACATTTCAAGTGCCAAATCAAACATCTTGGAGTCACAGAGACCAGATATCAAGCCATTATATGTATCTGCATTTGGCATGCACCCCTTCAACTCCATCTCCTTCAAAAGACGACAACCAACTTTCACTTTCCCTAATCTACAAAACCCATTAATCAATGTGTTATAAGCCACAACATCAACAATACCTCCTCTTTCCTCAACTCTTTCTAGTAATTCCACTGCCTCTGAAACACGTCCGCTGTTACAAAGAAGTCCCACTACTTTAGTCACTGTAATAACATCAGGTATATACCCTTTATTAAAGCTCTTTTCCAGCATCACCAAAGCCTGTACTAAACTCCCCTCTCCACAATATGCAGATATCAAAATGTTAAAAGTCACATCACTTGGTTCAACCAAATCTCTCATCAAACTCCTTGCTCTCCCTACCTTCCCATTCTTGCAGAGTGCATGTATAAGTGTATTGTAAATCACAGTATTTGGGGTAATGCCACGAGTTTTCATCACTTGAAGAAGCTTAAACCCATCACCAATCCTATTAGTCAAGCAAAGTCCTTTCATAAAAATCCCATAAGTATAATCATCACCGTGAATACCATTTCCCATCATTTTAATCCTATAAAACTCTCTAGCAATGTCTATATCTTCCTTAACAAGAACATCAAGAATCGAATTATAGAGCTTCAGGGTCGGTTTCTTTTCAAACTTGGACACCAATTCAGGAATTTTGATGACTTGTTTAATCATTCCAGCACGACCAAGACCACGTACAATGGTAACAAAGATATCCTCATCTGGGGTTGACCCAATAGAGCTAGGCATTTCGTCGAGCAGGTGGTGGACACAATCAAAACGCCGAAAATTGCAGAGCTTGTGGATTAAAGCTCGGTAAGTAGATTGATTGTGAGTGAAATTGCGAATGTTGGAGGCCCATCTAAAGGTTTGAAGAGCTTGAGTTGCAGATTTTTGTTCCAAAATTAAACGGGTGATGTTTTCTTGAGTTGGGACAGGACTGGTTAATAGTGGTTGTGATTGAGTAGTGAGAAATGCTCGATAAATTCGGTTACTGCAACGGAAAGATTTGTTCATATTGCTATTCAAATTTCAGCCCAGTACTCAACAAGACAACAACTCTAGGACCACTGTATAAGGCAATGCTAAAGTTGTGCACAAGCCATCAACGCTAGTGTTGCTCGAAATCCACCACAACATCTTAATTAGTGTAAAATAATGGACCTAGGCTTTAAGGGTAATACATACACTTACACTTCAAATAATAAGTACTTCAATAAAAATAGACATTTGTTTGGCCATTGACTCTTGCATAATTCAGCTACTGTTATACACTTTCCTCACGTCCTTTACAAGTTAGATTACACAAGACTCATGTCCTTCAAAGGGCTTCTCAAAAATTGACCAAACACCCTCATTAGTGTTATAGGATCCTTCCAAAGAAAAGAAATACTTTTGTTAACATTTTTCATCAGATGAATAGAATCGATGGCATTGGAGAGCTACCCTTATATATAGCACCTTCATTCAAGACCTTAATTCAATGTGTTTTTCTCTTTTAATTCAAGGAAGCTACTTTGATAAGGAGGAACTGAGTGCAACGATTTTTTTTTAAAAAAAGATAAGGATTGATTAATACCATTAGGAGAAAAATTAATGAATTTCCACAATTTAGATTCAAAGAAAAATTCATTAATATAATATTCGGAACTTAGATTCCAAGATATAATATCATTTGTAGTGAACTAGATAAGGTTGGGATATATATATTATGAACGGAAAGGGTCAAATATACCCCTATACTATTGAAAATAGTTTAAATATACCCTTTGTTATATATTTTCGGGCTAAATATACTCATTCCGTTATATTTTGGGCTAAATATACCCTTATATCTAACAGAGGGACACGTGGACGGCTAAGATTAAAAGAATCCACTCAATTTAAAATAGACCAAATCTAACATAACCCACTCCGCCCCCATAATATAACCTGCCCGCACCGCCTGGCCAGTGCATGTGTAAGTATTTCTTATAAAGATTGTTGTTGCTTTATGCATGATCACAGGTGAAAGAGGGCTGCCCTATGCTGAGCTCACCTGGCCAGTTAGTCTAAAAATCATACAAGGAGTAGCTCAAGGATTTATTATCTTCCCACTGAACTTGCTTCTTCTGATTTACCCCATGGCGATTTGAAATCGATCAATATACTCATAACCACAAACCACGAGCTAATACTCACAGGTTACAAATTCTACACTTTAAAGAACAATGCGCATGCAATTCAAGCACCAATCGCGTTCAAGTCACCAGAAGCAGTATGAAATAACCAAGTTACACCCAGATGCGATATTTATTGCCTTGGAATTGTGATTCTTGAGATAATAACTGGGAAGTTCCCGTCTCAATATCTTAATACCGGTAAAGGAGGGATTGACATAGCACAATGGGTGAAATCTGCAATTGCTGAGGGAAGAGAAGCTGGATTATTAGGGTGGGGCGGGATGCTTTATATCAGATGGTTTATTTTAATTTGAATGGACTTTTTTAATCTTAGTCGTCCACGTGTCCCTCTGTTAAATGTAAGGGTATATGTGAGCCTCAGTTTTGATGATTTGACAAACTCAGGGACCTTGTAAAGGGACTTGACCCTGGACGCCAATATACACACAACTACTAGGCTGGAAAAAGTACAATTGGTTGGTGCACAGTCTCCAATAGTAACAGAAATGGCAGAAACCTCAGCCAATGGCATGGCCTCGAAGGTTGTGACTATTCTTCATAAAGATTATGTCCAATAGTCATAACTTCAGTTTTTGCAACTTGAAAAAACTCTCAAGAACTCTTGCAAAGGCTAATACTAAAGTAAAGATTCATTCTAAAGATCAACTTGAACCAGATAAAGCTGCAAACTTAGTTATCTTAGGATTATATCTTCTGCACGTACATTGTAAATCTGTTCCTATATCTATAAAGGATTCAGATAGTTGTTTTGTGAAAAAGTCTAAATTAGTTGAGTCTAACTAATTTAGTGGGCAGCCGTATGTGTTGCTTAGTTAAAGTCTAAGTCATCCGAAGCGTGGTGGTTTAGTGGGCAACCTACGTGTTGCTTAGTCAAATTCTAAGTTGTCTAGTGGTGAGAGCTTAGTGGGCAGAGGGACATCTGCTTAGACTCTCCAAGTAATAGAATTATTACTTGGTTGTGAGATTAATAACTTTTTCTCACGTTGGTTGTAATTGTTGTTCACTTTTGCTTAAGGAAGACTAGTGAAAGCAATTGGAAATCCTATGTGACAGGTCGTGGTTTTACTCCCTTGAGCAAGGAGGTTTCCACGTAAATTGCTTGTGTTGTTTCATTATTGTTATTTACATTTCGTTATCATTTTGGTTAAGTCAAGGGACCTGGTCCATTGACAGACAGCGGACGCACCCATTCTATCAATTGGTATCAGAGCAGGTCCTCTCTAGCTGGTTAACACCAAGAGAGATATTTCTCTAAAAGAATGGTTGTTCCACTGAACCTCGAAGAAGGACAATTTTCAACACGACCTCCTCGTTTCAATGGTCAGTTTTACAGTTGGTGGAAAACAAGGATGCACGACTATCTTATGGCTGAGGACAACGAGTTGTGGGACATAGTGCTGGATGGACATTTCATTCCAACAGTGGAAGTGAAAGATGGTGAAATCACAAAACTTGTTCCAAAGACTCGCCAACAGTACAACGAGGAGGACAGAAAGAAGATCGAGAAAAGCTACAGAGCTAAGAGGTTGTTAGTGTGTGGTATCGGTGCTGAAGAGTACAACCGCATCTCTGTGTGTGAATCGACAAAGGAAATCTGGGACAGTCTAAGAACAACTCACGAAGGGATAAAGCAGATGAAGGAGTCGAATATAGATATGATGACCACCCAATACGAGAACTTCACAATGAAAAAGGGTGAAAACATTCATGATTTCATCTATAACCAATAAGCTGTGAAGCTTGGGAGAACCCATTAACTCTAGTAAGCAGGTCAGGAAGATTCTTCGAATTCTTCCCAAGTCATGGGCAAGTAAAGTAGATGCCATAACTAAAGGACTTTAAGGTTCTGATGATGGATGCTCTCATTGGAAATCTCAAAACTCATGAAATGAACAGAAATCAGGACACCTCAAAGAAGGAAGCTAAGAAAGACAAGTCTCTAGTTCTCAAAATCAAGTCTAGAGATGACTCTAGTGAAGAGGATGACATGGTTTATCTCACTAAGAGATTTCAAAAAATTGTGAGAAAACATGGAGGGTTCAAGAAAAGAGGGAATCTCTCTCGTGCGGCAACTACTAGTGATCTGTCATAAGTGTGGAAAGGCGGGGCACTTAATAAGAGATTGCCCGATACTCAAAGCTGAAAAACAAAGAGTATCAAAGACCTGGAGATGAAAAAGACAAGAGAAGGGACCTAGTACTTGAGAAAATTGCAAGAAAAGCTGCAGCTGACTACGTTGTGAAGAAGGCTCTTGCTGTCTTGGGAGATTCTTTAAGTGAGCTGATGAGTCCACAATTTGGACTCATTTAGGGATTTATTTTGATAAGAATAGTGTCCTCGAATGCTTATTTTGTCTAAATATTTGATGAAAACTCTTAAGTGTCAGGTATTTGGAGTTTTAGTGAAAGCACTGACACTTAGGCGCAAAAAGGAACAAAAAGGCTGAAAAAAACGAAGAAGCTGAAGCCCGAGCATCGCCAAGCACTCTTGGCGATTCGCCGAAAGGATTTACTCCGCCATTTGTTCCAGTACGCGAAGCCCTGAAGGAGAAGGATAAAAAAGGCGATGAAAGAAGCAGTCGGCTCTTCGCCGAATAGTTTCATGAAGCAGTACTATACCACCCAATGGTCCAGAATGTGAAGATACGGAAGGCAAGCACGAAACGGCGATAAGACAGACGAAGGGCGAGTCGCTGAAGTCATTCGGCGATATCGACTAACTTCGCCGAAAGATTCGCCAACGCTATTTTCTGAAGTCCATAAATACTGAACTTGTTATTAATTTTAAAGAGTCGAACATTTATTTTACTTTCCAAAATAGAATAGTACTTTTTGGATATTTTTCTCTCAAGTTTGGAGAGGGTTTTTGGGAGACTTGAAGAAAGAAGGATTTCATCTTCCCCAAGTTGGAAGTGGGTCTTCTCCATTCTTCTTCCTTTTCTTAAATCAAGGTTTAATTTATTATACCCATTTGATTTTACTATCATTTTAGGTGTATTTTGTTATTTCATGATATGTGGCTAAAACCCCCATTCTTGGGGTGTGATTTAGCAAATATGTGTTGATATTATTGTTAGGTCTTGCTTGCTGATAGTTAGATGTAGTTTAATGGTGATTTCACCTAGTGGTTGTGGTTTAATCTAAAGGGTTTGTGGTTGCGAATACAAAGCCACCCATGTATTTTCGGCTTTCCCAAAAGGGAGGTCGCGAAACCAAGACCACTAGACTGATGGCCTAAGGAGTGGGTCGACACGAGGTTCAGCTTGAGAGGGTGAGCTCTAGTCACATATCCTAACACTCAGCTCGAGAGAGGGAGTGGGGTAAGGCGTAGGCTGGTCTTCATGCAGCAAATGGGTGTCCGAGAGGAACGCAATTGAAACGGGGTAAGTTGCCCGAGAGGGAACTTATTTCCATTTAAAGCTTAGTCTAGTCACTATTATCTTATAAATTTCCTTTCAAAAGAATGTACCTAACTACTTATCTCAACTTGTATTGCGGTCACACCCCAAAAATATTTCCCCATACTTGATTTTCTTGTTAATTTTTGCTATTTTTACTAATTGTGACAAAACCCCCAAATTGATATTTGACACTTTCGTGTCACCCCCTTTAATTTACCATATTTTTATTCATTAATGTCTTTAGCTACGACTAGTTAGAGCTTAATTTTATTTTTTTATCAATTCTCAAAACCAATTCCTTGGGACACGACCCCAACCTTTAGTTGGGTTACTATACTATCGACGATCGTAAACACTCATACTGTAGGTTAGTGTCGTTGGTCACGATAAGCATCATGAGTCAGAAGAATCAGAATGTCCTGCTGATGCATCTATGCTGGTTGTTCAAGATGATGCCAACATATTTGATGGCATGTTTGCTTTCATGGCGAAATCAGATGACGAAGACGATGAAGAAAAGGTAACTCTCTTTGATCTTAAAAAGAACTTGAATACTTATTCTATCAGAAGGCTGAGAAACCTAGCTGGTGATTGACTTTATCATTGAGTTAACCACTGAAAAAGACTCTATGAACAATAATCTTGATAGTCTGAGTGAAGAAATAACAGTGTTGACTGTGCACATGTCAGTTACTGAGGAACAAGTAATGGTTCTAGAATCTGAAAACCTAGAACTCAAGGAACAATTGAGTCTAATGATTGAGAAATCTGGAAAAAGAAAGGGAGAGGTTACTAGCTTGCAAGCAGAGCTAGAAGCCAGTCTGAATATGGCTGAAAGCAGACTTGCTCTAGCCTTGGAAAGAAATGATCATATGGAAAGGGACATGGTCCGTCTTAAAGAAGAACTTCAAACTTCTCTAAAATGGACCAGTTCCACTAACCTACTTTCAAAAATCACCAGTCAAAGCAACTACAACAGAAAGGGATTAGGTAGCCTGAATATCACCCCTCCTTACAATCCCCACAGTAAATATGTCTATGTGTCGAATAATTTATTATGTCTTCATTGTAGTCGAAATGGCCATTTGAAAAGGGACTGTCCTGCCTGGAAAACCTCTCAAGAAAAGTTTTCAGGTCCCCTTCTTAAAATCTTGAACAAGAAAAAAGCAAACCTACCTCACTGGGCAATAAACATTCTTATTACACCCTTATCAGCTTATTGGGAACTCAGATTGAAGTGGGTTCCCAAATCTAATAAGTGATATGTGTTACAGGGGTGAAGGAAGTAGCAGTCAGTGCTGGTTCATGGACAGTGGATGTTCGAAGCACATGACTAGGAGCACCAAAAGCTTCATTTCACTCAAGGCACTTCAAGGTAGAGGTGTCTCATTTGGCGATGGAAAAAAGGGGCACATCCTTGGAGTTGGCAGGGTTGGTAAATCTCTTGAAGACTCCATTGAAAATGTTTACTATGTGAGTGGGTTAAAATACAACCTTCTCAGCGTCTCCCAGATTTGTGACAAGGGAAGCGAAGTCAAGTTTTCTTCAGACAAATGCATTGTCACCAGCCTGACTAACAAGAAATTGATCCTGATGGCCAGAAGACGGAAAAACATGTATGTGGTAGATCTGGAAACACCTCATGGAGATGATCTGACATACCTCAGTGCTCAAAGTGAAAATGACGTCCTATGGCATAGGAGGCTAGGTCATGTGAGTTCGTCTCTATTGAACAAGCTTGTATCTAGGGACCTGGTACGTGGATTGCCAAAATTGAAGTTTAGTGACGTCAAATAACGCATGTGCCAAAGAAAAACAGACCAAATCCTCATTCAAACCAAAGAAGCAAGTAAGCTCTTCAAGGGTTCTTGAGTTGCTACATATGGATCTGTGTGGACCTGTGAAAATCCAAAGTCGGAACGGAAAGAAGTATATACTGGTGATTGTGGATGACTACTTAAGATTCACGTGGACTATGTTTCTCAAGTCAAAATCTGAGACAGTTGATGTGTTATTTTTCAAAATGATCCAAATCAAGCTCAACTGCTTGATTACAGGGATCAGGTCCGACCATGGAACCGAGTTTGAAAATGCGAAGCTTGATACCTTTTGTGTAGAAAGTTGTATTAATCATAACTTCTCAGCTCCCAGAACACCTCAACAAAACGGTGTGGTGGAAAGGAAGAATAGAACTCTGGTAGATATTACCAGAACAATGCTCATCGAGTCTAATCTTCCTCAAAACTTTTAGGCTGAAGCTGTCAACACTGCGTGTTATGTGACTAACAGATGCTTGATCAAGTCTCTCCTGAACAAAACTCCTTATGAACTGCCCAACAACAGGAAACCCAAACTCAGTTACTTAAAGGCCTTTGGGTGCAAGTGCTTTGTGCTAAACAACGACAAGGATGATCTGGGAAAGTTTGATCCCAGAAGTGATGAAGGTGTCTTTGTAGGATACTCATCTTCAAGCAAAGCTTATAGAGTCTTCAACAAAAGAACACTATCCATTGAGGAAAGTGTTCGTGTGATATTCGATGAAAGTGGTGATCTGAAAAACCTGGAGATGAAGGACGATGATGATCTTATTAAGCTTTTCAAAGCCCAGAATATTGAAGCTAACATGCCTGAAGCTGAAGGGAATCTAGAGTCTGATGGTGTTGATCCTAGTCTAGCTGAGAAAATGAAGAAGGATGACCAACCTAAGAAGAACAGACGGTCCAATCCCAACCCTTGGCCTCTAAACCAGGGTGGAAGCACAGTTCATCTTACCCCTTTAAGAATCTCATTTCCCCACTGAATTATGGAATGCAAACCATGTCAAAAACAAGAAATCTGGTTGCGTTTTCAGCCTTCATTTCTACCATTGAGCCTAAAAATGTGAAAGAAGCCTTGAAAAATGTTACTGGGTCAATTCAATGCAAGATGAACTTCATCAGTTTGAGCAAAACAATGTGTGGTACCTGGTCCCAAGACCTGCTGACAGAACTATCATAAGGACCAGATAGGTGTTCAGAAATAAGCTTGATGAAAATGGGTTTATCACTAGGAACAAGTCCAGACTGGTTGCTCAAGGCTATAATCAGGATGAGGGCATAGACTATGACGAGACATTTGCCCATGTTGCTCGAATGGAGGCTATCAGAATCCTCATAGCATTTGCAACCTTCATGGGTTTCAAGCTCTTCCAGATAGATGTCAAAAGTGTCTTCCTGATTGGAGATCTGAAAGAAGAAGTATATGTGAAACAACCACTTAGATTTGAGGATACTGACTTCCCAAATCATGTGTTCAAACTCAACAAGGCCATGTACGGATTGAAACAAGCACCAAGAGTCTGGTATGAAAGGTTGTCCAAATTCCTACTGAAAAATGGTTTCAAGAGGGGCAAGATAGATAACACCTTGTTTTTAATGAAAAGGGAACATGAATTGCTCATCATTCAAGTATATGTGGATGACATCATTTTCAGAGCCACCTCTGAATGTTTGTGTGAAGAATTTGCGACTCTAATGGGGAATGAATTCGAGATGAGTATAATGGGGGAGATAAATTTTTTCTTAGGCCTACAGATCAAGCAAACCTCAAGTGGGACTTCAATCTGTCAAGAGAAGTACACAAAAGAGTTGTTGAAGAAGTTTCACATGGTGGACTCGAAGCCTATTGATAACCCCATGGGTATAAACTATAAAATGGGAACAGATGAGGCTGATCTACTAGTGAATCAAATCATGTTCAGAGGGATTATTGGTTCTCTATTGTATCTAACAGCTAGTAGACCTGACATTGTCTTTAGTGTAGTAATGTGTGCATGATTCCAAGCATGTCCCAGGGAATCACATCTGAAGGCCGCCAAGCGGATTATGAGGTATCTAAAGAAGAAATAGGACCTGGTCTTGGTCCTGTTCTATCTGGTAGGTGACTCCTTTGAACTAGTAAGGTATGCAAATGCTGACTTTGCAGGATATCAGGTTGAAAGGAAGAGCACGTCTGGGATGGCGCATTTTCTTGGATCCTCACTCATCTTATGGGGTACCAAGAAACAAAATTTAGTAGCTCTTTCAACAGCTGAGGCAGAATATGTAGTTATCGCATCTTGTTGTGCTCACCTACTATGGATCAAGCAACAACTTGAAGATTTTGGAGTTCATGTCCATACTATTCCTCTCATGCGTGACAATACCAGTGCAGTCAACATGGAAAGAATCCAGTCCAACACAAAAGAACAAAGCACATTGATGTCAGACATCACTTCTTGAGAGACAATGTTGAAAAGGGAAACATCAGCATGCAGTATTACAGGACAGAAGATCAAATTGCAGATATTTTTACCAAGGCTCTCAGCAAGGATCAATTTGAGAGTAACAGGTTTAAGTTAAGAATGATGAATATGCACTGACCTAATCTCATCCAAAGGCATCCAATCCTTGTTTTGGCTATGATCTGGAAGGCAGGTATCCTCATTACTCGTAATGTATTATTTAAGTGAGATCAACTATATACCTATTGCAGGTATACACTCATGGAAATTACAGGAGCAAAGAATGGTCAGAACCATTCAAGAATCAAATCTCATATGCAGTTGAGGATCTAGTCCCTCTTAAGGTTAGCATCCTGTACATTTTGCTTAAACTGATTGAATGAGAACCGTTGACATCTCCACGTGTCAGTCATCGGTCCCTCTGACCGTTGTCCCATCGTTTTAAGTCCAAGCGACGCGTCTACTCAGGGACATGACACATCATTTCGAGCTCCTTCTATAAGACCTTTCTTTATTCCATCTCTCTACATTTCAAATTTCTTTCTCTCTAAAGCCTTTCGCCAAAACCCTTTTATCATTCTCTCTCACTTTCTCTCTGTCACTCTTCATCTCCCTCTCTCAAACAAAATGTTTCAATCCCCATCTTCTTCAAAGAAAATGCTAGACTCACTAAATGAAATAGACCATGTGGCATTCTACACATCTTTTGATGCTCCGTCTCCTTTCAAAATGTTGACCATCTCTCCGGTCAACATTGGTGAAACCAATCCTCTTAATCTCCAGTCTCCCTTAGACCTCAATAACAAACCTGGTCCCTGTTCTGCCATGTTGTCCGACCACTTATTTGAGGGAGATCTTCCTGAGAATAAATCGTCTGAGTTAAATATTCTCGCAGCCAGTAAGAGCCTAATCGTCGAGAGTCTAACCCAGATGGGGGGAGTGATACTAAATGAAGAAGGAGAACAGTTTGTGGACAATTTGATTGGGGGGTCTCAACCAGTGTTTGACCAAACTCTTGAGTTTGGTGTCTACCCTTCGTTCGATTCTACTGACACTGACTAGGATAATCCCCTCTCCCCGATGGATTGTTTAAAAGAAAATTGTCCATATCTCCACAAAAGAAAATGAGAAGGTCACTGAGGAGACAACTAAAATAAGGCCTTTTACTAGATCTGATTCAAAGAAATTGATGGGTGATGCTATGAAATCTAGTGCAACAACGACTGCAGTAAGGCGCAAGAAAAAGAAATTGGGTAATGTACTCTTTGAGATACCTGATACTGATGTGGTGGATGTCTCCATTGACGATTATGAACATGAAGGTGTGGGAAAAGGTTTTGAAGAAAAAAGGGAAAAACAAGTAAAAAAGCCTAGTAAGGGAAAGGGAAAGTCTAAAGCATTTGTGGCAAAAGGGGATGTGTCCAAAAAAGGGAAGAACAAGAGGAAGGGATAAACCTCGCTGTCATCAAACCAGCCTCTGGAAAGGAACCTGGTCCCATGGGAAATAAGCATGATCACGGAGAAAGCAAACAGTCAATTGTCAACAATCTACGTCTCCAGAAGGTTCTACGAGATCGAGTGTTTGACCCGGACATCATCACCAAGCATGGGATGAATTCTTTGTATGATCTTATGGAAATCCAGTCGTGGACTCACTTGTTCCAGACAAAATCACTTGTTTTAAATGAGGAAGAGGTACGAGAGTTTTACTATAACATTGAGTTTGAAGATGATAGTAGCATAAGCACCAACATAGGGGACAAACGTTTGCATCTGACTGAGGACATGCTGGGGTAAATATTGGAGGTACTGAGAGAAGGGACCAAATTCGTCGTTAGAAAAACTTGCTCTGTGGAGTTTGTCAAAGAATGCTTTAAAATCCCTAACACACGACGTGCTGGGATTCAAAAGAAACTCATGAAAGGAGAGTACCAGTTGATGTTTGAATTTGTCAACAAGGTACTTCTTCCTCGAACAGAAAAATGAATTGTCGTTTCTATATCTGATCTGTTCATCATGGAGTCACTTTGCAAGTTTGATCCCATAGATCTTCCAGCCCTCATGCTAGAGCATATGTACAAGACTGTGGTTGAACACAAAGGCAAACATGGCATGAGATATGGCTACTTTTTGACCAACGTGTTTCATTATATGAACATACTAGTGCGAGCAGGTAAAATTGGAACTGCTAAACAATTCTTCACCCTTAGTACGCTGGTGGAATGTGAGTGTATAGAAGGAAAGGGAAATCCACTGAGCAAGGTATATCAGTTAATAATGGAACAGGATAAGCTGAAACATGAGTTGGAAGGGATGATTGTGCATGTAAGCACTAGAGATGTTGAAATTGCTATACTAAAAGCTTAGTTGCTCAAGGCACAGACAGAGGGACCTGGTATTGCAGAAGTTAAAGAGTTGAGGAAACATAATGAGGTGCTCCTTGCCAAAATTGCTGCTCTTCAGGAGAAAGTGATCAAAGACAATGACGAAGCAAATACTAGACTCACTTTTATCATCAAGTCCCTTTCCCATCAGC